ACTCCCATGGACTGACATCTTGAGCCCTGAGGACGTCAGCAGATAGCTGACGAAAGCTAGGCGTTTTAATTGATTTTATTAGTAATTTTAGTAATTTTAATATTAAACCAAATTATTTTATCATATTCCCTGGTGCTCGTGTTTTCTCACTGTTCTAATATGGAATTACCCAGGGATCACGTTTTTAAAGAAATTTCTGTGATTTATATATATATATATATATATATATATATATATATATATATATATATATATATGTCTTGGCGACGTTTCGACGAGGTCCCACTCGTCATCTTCAGGCTGGGGTCTTCGGCTTTGTGCTTGTATGAGCAAAGTGTGATTGGAGCTGCCGTCTCTCTATAAATATTGGTGGGGGTGTCTGGAGTGCTGGCTTAGTTGCTGTAGGTGGGTTGGTTGGCTGTGTAGGGGTTATTGTTTGCGGATTGTTCAGCTGTTTCGTAACATCCTGAGTAGTTGGGGTGCTGGCTGTGTGCCCATTAGTCTTTTGTGTTATAACGACCTGGGTAATGGGTTGTGTGATTACATCCTGAGATCTAGTGTAGTGATATCCTGAGTTTTGTGTTGCAACATCCTGGGTGGTTGGCTGTGTTGTAACATCCTGGGCTTTAGCGTTGTAACCTCCTGAGTTCTGTGATGGGATGTCCAGAGCAGAAGGCTGTGATGTAGTATACCGGGCTTTGGTTTGGCTTTGAGTTTGCGGTCTAGCTCTGTGTTCATAACGTGTGTCCGTTTGCTTTGTGTGGGGGTCGGAGGGAGGTGCAGCAGCTGGTGATGTCGTCGTGGTTTGGCTTCTGGATGGTGGTTGCATTTTGTCTGAGGTTTGGGCTTGGGTTTGGGTCTCGTGAGGGTGAATGGTGGTGGTGTACTGTGTTGTTCTGGGTCCGGTGTCAGTTTTCGTGGCTAGGACTCGTTTGTTGATTAGGGCTAGTTTCCAGATGTCTGGTAGGCGGGTGTTATCGTCACATTTATTCATGTTGTGGGGGTGTTTTTCTATTTCGATGGCTTCCATAATTATTCTCTTGTTGTGGTGTTCAGTTTTGGAGATTAGTTTGGTTCCTTCAAAATCAGTTTCATGTCCTGTAGCTTTAAGGTGCTGGAAGAGGGAAGAAGTTTTTTCTTCTTTTCTGACTGTGTTCTTGTGTTCTGCGATGCGGGCATTTATTCTCCTATTAGTTTGTCCAATGTATGTGGCTGGGCAGATTTTGAATGGTATTTCATAGACTCCTTGGTTTTCTAGCTGGATCCTGTCTTTGGGGTTTCTTAAGATGTTGGCTATTTTTTGGTCGGTGCCGAAGGCTGTCTTGATATTGTGTTTGTGGAGAATTTTGCTGATTTTATCTGTGGTGCCTTTGATGTAGGGGAGGAGGGCGATGTCGTTGTACTGTTCTATGTCTCGGTTCTTGGGGGGTGTTTCCTTTTAGATTAGGTTGGTAATTGTATTTCTTTGGAATCCATTGGAGATTAATACATTTGTGAGAGTGTGTAATTCAGTTTTCAGGTGGTCTTTGTCGGCTAGGCGTTTGGTTCTGGAGATGAGGGTCTTGGCTACGGAGTTGATCTGTGCAGGGTGGTGGGATTGTGCGTTTAAGTAGCGGTTGGTGTGTGTTTTTTTCCGGTAGATGGTGTGTCCTAGGGAGCCATTGGGTTTTTTGTTTTTTGGGGTTTAGGACGTCCAGAAAGGGGAGTTGGTTGTTAGCTTCTATTTCCATCGTGAATTGTATTTTGGGGTGTAGGCTGTTGAGATGTGTGAGGAAGTTGTCCAGTTTTTCTTTCCCATGTGGCCAAATTACAAAAGTGTCATCTACATATCTGAGCCAAAGTTTGGGTTTGTGTTCAGATTTGTCTAAGGCGTTGGTTTCGAAGTGTTCCATGTATAGGTTTACGATGACGGGTGAGAGGGGTGATCCCATAGGTGTTCCTTCTATCTGTTTGTATCTTTGTCCCTTGTGGATGAAGTATGTGTTGATTAGGCAGTGGTTGGTCAGATGGGCACACAGCCAGCACCTCAACTACTCAGCTGTTACGAAACAGCTGAACAATCCGCAAACAATAACCCCTACACAGCCAACCAACCCACCTACAGCAACTAAGCCAGCATTCCACACCCACCCACCAATATTTATAGAGAGACGGCAGCTCCGATCACACTTTGCTCTAGCTGTAGAGTATGACAGAATTCTGGCTGTGTCAGCGTGTCTCTGCTGGCAGATGTTTATCATCATCTATGATTTTCAAAAAAATCCAGATATTCTCATCTTGTAAATTTCCCTTTCATTCTTGCTGCTTTTTCCATCTTTTTCTTTTCACAAAAAAATCCCTTGCAATAGCTTTTTGTCAACAGTAATAGAAAGCATAAACTGGAAACATTCTTATTTATATAAGTGAAGTGGGACTACAGCAGAATAGAACTCTTTAACTTGTGATAGGAAGGAGAGGCTGCAAAAAAAGAAAATCTTCCGTGTTCCCCCACAGGAGGGTCATTCCGTTAACTTATTTTGCTGCACTGGCAGAAGAGGCAGTATGACAATGAGGGAGGGAGGGAGAGAGGGAGGGAGGGAGGAATCATGGAAAGACATCAGCCACTGAAGTTGAGCTGAAGCGAGCTGAGGCAAGCAACAGCCCTTCCAGACCCGAACAGCTACTATTGTGGACCAAAAGTCATTTCAAGGGACTTTTTTTTGTGAAAAGTGCAGTAACACTAACAATCACAATAATGTCATCGGTGCTGTAATTGGCTCTTGCAACCCTGCATCACAGTGGTGGGGGAAAAAAGCAAGGGCATCTACAAGATAAGTTAAAATGACCGTCTCTCTCTCTCTCTCTCTCTCTCTCTCTCTCTCTCTCTCTCTCTCTCTGTGTGTGTGTGTGTGTGTGTGTGTGTTAGAGAGAGAGAGAGAGAGAGAGAGAGAGAGAGAGGAGAGAGAGAGACCATGTAATTGAAGTATCTTCTCTTTCTGACATGCATCACACAATTCTATCCCACTTTTTGCACTAGGTCAGGGGTAAGAAACCTGTGTGTGAAGGGATCTTTGATTTCTAATCATTCATGAGCTAGTGCAGGGGTGAGGAACCTTGGTTCTTTTATGACTTGTGGACTTCAACTCTTAGAATTCCTGAGCCAGCATGGCTCAGCTTGGAAACCTCTCCCTTTCCCCTCAGCATGGCTGGCTCAGGAAATCTGGGAGTTGAAGTCCACAAGTCATAAAAGAGCCAAGGTTCCCCACCCCTGCACTAGCTCATGAATGAATAGAAATCAAAGATCCCTTCACACACTCCCTACCTACAGTACTCCCTACAGCGGTGAGGAAAGATGTAAAAGAAAGAAAGCAATGTATTAAAAAGCTTCAACAGCCTTTCACAGGCTATTGGAGCATGTGACTGCAAACTTGCAATTCAAATCTCTGAATAGCACAACAGCTGGGGAAGACAATTATAAATCAGGAAAATCAGGACACAAAAGATGCTTCTAAAGCAGGAAAACTGGGACATTGGGAACTCCATGAACTAGACTTTAAATCTTTACTGGAGGACAGGAGAGAAAAAGATTATTGCAGACGATGAATCCACTTTATGTTTTGTTTCATAAAGAAACAGAACAGCATAGAAGAGAAAAAGTTATGGTGGGAAATAATTGCAGTATTAAACTGAACACTCCCGTTGGGAGCAGAAGTGTGACTGAACAGTAATGTTTTGTATTTCACTGATAACAATTTCTTTCTTAGGGAAAATTATAGGCAGAGGGAGCAGATGTGGATTAGACCTGGGTTAGCTTTTGCATTCACAGAACCTGCCAGTTTGTTTAAGTAAATTGAGGAGGGCTGGAAAGCCTCTTGATTTCCAAATCTTGACATTTTAAAAACAAACAGTTCCCACCTTAATATTTCAAATTGAAATAGTATGAAGATATGCTTAATATTTATGGAATTGTAATATATACAATATTTATGTCATTTACTTTTAGATCAACACTGCAAGATAGGTAACTCTCAAGTTTACAGATTGGGTCAGTATCTCATTTATGATCTCATAAATCTCATTTATGAAGAGCAAAGAAATGGGACTCAGATCCAGGGTCTATTGTTTTGGATTACCCTATAAAATTTAAACAACAAAGAGCATTGAGGCAATCTCTAAGCATTTCCTGCAAAGACTCATCACCTCAATGGGTTCCTTGAATGTTGAAAGGCTGACATCACGCCTCTCATGCCAACGCCATGAGGGAATAGTCAGGTTGCTGGGAGCAATTGTGGGCTCCTGGACTTTTAGCTATGATGAAAAAGAGACACTCAATTATGATTTCCTTCTCTCTCCTTGCTTTCTTACTGCATGTCTGCTTTTATGATGAAGACAATATTAAGGGCTTCCTCAATGGATAGACAATAATGTGTTTATTATTAAGGAGACAAGTTCTTTATGGCACAATGCTCTTCCATGCTGAATTTGAAAATTTGAATTTGAAAATATAATAGAAAAATAACTAGCTAGGGAACTATGTTTATCATACTAATTATTTGTTCAATATACTGTATCCACAATAGGCTAAACCACAACCTATTGTATACCACAGTGATTGGGCTGACACAACATACTCAATCAAAATCCAACATGCCCCATTATGCTTAGTTCAGGGTAAAAAATGATACCATAATGGATAATTTTGATACAAATTTTAATCAGCTGATTTGGATAATCAGAAGTCCTGCCTTCTGATACCTTATCTTTCCTGAGTAGCTTTAATACCGTATATAAAACATATTAAAAAATCTAGCCAAAGTTAAAACAAATCAAGCTGAGGATATAATTTGATCATCACAGCCCTTGAATTTTCCCTTTTTTTAATTCTCTGATTCAAATTCTGATTGCATACATGCAATCATTGCAATCATCTGGAACTTTTGAAGCCAGAATTTGCAGACTGTCAAGGGAAGAGCCATTTGTAGATTCTGAATGTTGGTAATTTCTCCAGAACCTTTCCATTTCTTCCAATCTTCCAATTCCTGATAGCAAGCATGTTATGCCATTGGTCAATCCCATTAAATTAAACACATTCTAACTAATCCACTCTACTCTTGATGGGCTCTTGATGACAGATGTCTTTCCATTATCAACTTCTTGAATCCTTAACCTGAATGTGCCATGGATTAATTCATGAATGCAAATGAGATGTTCTAGCATTGTGTAATAAGTCTATTTTCTATTGTTAGTCCTACCTTTAGAGGGTTGGTCTCATTTGTAGATGAACAGATGATGTTGCCTTCTGTGCTCACTCTTGTGATGTAAAGCAAAAAGCCTTTCCAGAAGTGACTGGGGAAATACACAAGCAGATCAGCTCCAGATACTGTGCTAGGGCCTGCATTCTGCAACTGAAGAATGGTGGTGGGAGGAAGACAGGCATGGAGAAAGAGAAAGAAAAGAGATCTTTAATAGGGAAAAGTCTCAATTTTAGGCTAAAACTTCCATATTTCCAATTAATGTATGTTTCTTGATACCCGATAGATATGCTCTATTTTCGGTCCATAGTCACCGACTTCATTGCTCTTGTTTTTAAAGTCCTCAAGAGTCCATGGGAGCACAGTTGCAGCTGGTATAGAGATTCTGGGAACAAAGAGCACAAAATACAAGAATTAAAAAGTATCCCTCTTATCAGCCCAGCAGATTAAAAAAATAATCTGCATTCACTGAAAAGTAATATTCTAATGGAAGAGGTTGAGCAAAATGGCTTGTACTCACCCAAACAGCTCTACCTGTGCATCAACCTTGAGTGGAACCTGCAACCATTTTATATTGCTGTTGGGGTTACGGCTATTCTTACTGCAGAAGAAATTTGAAGTTATGATTAAAATGTTAGAATGGTTCTCACCTTTGAGGCACCCCCGATATTTCTTTACAGTATTGGAACATTCAAATCAATTTGAATAAAGGATGGCAAAGTGTTGTTATAAGAAAGCTATCTACAGAAAATAGTGAGGGAATGGGAGAATAATTGGCAACATAGAAGGATTTAAGATGTAAAGCAATTTCACAAAATAAACAAGATATTGGAAAAAAGGACATTAAAAACACACATATACACATATTGTCCCCTCAGTTGAATACTGATAAATATATTACAACAATATTAGTTTTCCATTCCTTGAGAAACAGCCCCTCCCAAAAAATTTAAACTATTTATTCCATTTGCAGATTATTAACCTGTCATCTATCTACTATATTAATGACAAAATAGTTAACAGCTAGAACAATAATAAAAAAGCAAGATTAAAATTTCAAAGCGCTCTGTTAACAAACTGTTATTGTAATCAACTCGTAGAAAGTTTACCATGGTTTCTTATCTTTCCTAAATCATCCCAACAGTTAACACTGATTCATCCTGAATCATATGTCCACATTTACTTTTGATACCATCTCTTAACAATTGTTGTCTAGTTAAATATAATAAGGCTATTCTCCAAAGTCGATTTATCTTCCGAAAGAGTCCAAATGAAATTGTTTTCCAGTTAAGCATTATAAATTAATTCCCCAATCTCCTTCAGTCCTTTAGGAAAAAACAATTTATCATTTCTTCATTCAGTTTTCTGCTGTTGTAAAGGAATGCAGCCTTGAACTTCAGGAAGGCATGTGCAATCCACCAGTTCAAAGTCTGTAAGATCCATATTTCTTTCAATCTTCTTCACAAAATCTGCCACTTTTAAATAAAATTCTTTTTGTGAATTTGATTTATCTACAGTTACTTGCATCTAAATATTTTTCATAACCTTTATCATTTCATCAAACCTCTTAAAAAAACTTTCTACTAGGGATTATACGTTACCAAACTATGTTTTTTCAGATGCCAGCCACATTTGCCTGTCTGTAATTTGATACATTGTTGCTCTGTGTAACTAAGCAACAATAGATAAGAGAACACAGGAAATAGAGAAATAATATTCTTCAGAGTGAAAAAATAAATAAAAGAAGCAGGGAAGATATTTTCTAGATATTTCAATCCAAAATTAAAAGAAAAATAAAAAAGGTCTAATATTTTTGCAAATTAATAAATTGTGAAATCCCTGTGGTGAGAGTCAAATATAGATGTAAATCAAATGAAAACACAGGAACATGATTTCCTTATGGAAAAGCAAAAGTTATTTAAAACAATAGAAATCAAAGGGAAAAGGGAAAAAAAACTAGATAAAGTCCAGCAGGAGGTTAAAATAGATCAGCATTCAACAACCTGGTCAACTTTTAAAGATAAAGAGCAAAGTGTAACAGAAGCTTCAAAAGTGAAGTTAAAACCCAGGCATGTTTTAAAAAATGAACTGCTGAGAATAAAGATGGATGACCACTGACTTCCTGACAGCTCCCACAATGGAACTAATGCCACAGGGAATGGAACTAATGCCACAGGGAACTACAATCTTCAAGATTCCTCTTCCCACAAAGGAGAGGATATAGATAATGGAAAAGACAATGGAAAATACGATGAGGATAGACTCAAAGAAGTTAAAGAGGCTAGATCGACAAAACTGTTAGTGGAAAGAGAAAAGGAACCACAAGTTAAAGAGTCTAGACTGACAATAATAACAAGATCTAAATATAGATAAAGAGGTAAAAGAAAGTGCTGAGATTTTATCCCTGAATGTTAATGGTCTCAACTCCCTATTAAAAAGGAATTTTTTAAAAAATAAACTTAGTAAGATGAATTTGGATTTAATAATTTTACAAGAAGTTCATATAAAAAAACAACACCAACACTTACTAAATCGCCCCAAATTGGGGAATATGTTCGCAGCACTTTCACAACAAAAAAAGGAGGAGTTGTAGCATATATCAAAGAGGGAATTCTGGCAAATCAAATTTATAAAGATGAAGATGATAGAATTCTAATAAGAGAAGTAATATTGAATAAAATAAAAATAGCCCTCATGGGAATTTATGCCCCGAATGAAGGGCAGAAACAATTCTATAAAAAATTACATAGTATTATTAGTGAGTTTGAATATGACAACATCTATATAATGGGAGACTTCAATGCAATTGCGGATAGACATCTAGATTATAAAAGTGATAAGATTAGAAAAGGAATTAGAGGAACATTACCTAGTACCTTCCTAAAAATGGTAGAGGAGTTTAATATTCAGGACATTTGGAGGGAGAGGAATACAGGGAAAAAGCAGTATACTTACTATTCGGGGCGACATCTATCATGGTCCAGAATCGATATGGCGTGGTTGTCAGTAGATTTAAATTCGGAAGTGGAAGATATTACAATTGACACGAACTCTTGGGCGGATCACAACCCAATCAGAATTAGATGGAAAGGGCAAAAGAAAATAAGGAGATGGACCCTGAAAAGAGCAATTTTAAAACATAAAGAATTCAAATTGAAATTGGAAGACCAAATGGGTCTGTTTTTTCAGATGAATAAAAAGGAAGATACAAATTGCCAAAACTTATGGGACACAGCCAAAGCTTACCTGAGAGGTATTGCAATTGCTTATATGGCCAGAGAAAATAAAATTAAACTACAGCGACAAAGAAATTTAGAAGAAGAACTTAACAGGGCCGAGAAAAATCTACAAAATGAACCACAAAGACGTGACCTGAAACAACAAATAGACCTAATTAAGCACAAGATGAACACTATCGAAAAGGAAGAATTGGGGCAGCAAATAAAACGTACTAAGCAAAACTTTTTTGAAAATGCCAATAAACCGGGGAGATGGTTGGCTTACAGAATAAACATAACGATAAAAAGAGGATTAGTAAATTATACAATGAAAAAGGCGATATGGTATATCAGAATGAAGGGGAAGAAAATGGTGGCCTATGAGTTCTATAAGAAATTATATAAAGATGAAGAACGGAAAAATAATGATATACTAAAATATCTGCAAATAGCCGACCTACCGAAAGTTTCAAAAGAGATTAAAAATATGTTGAATAAAGAGATAACACCCCTAGAACTATCAGAGGCAATTAAGAAACAAAAAACCAATAAAGCACCAGGGCCGGATGGTTTACCAGCAGAAATATATAAAATTTTGCAAGAATCTTTAAGTCCAATATTAATAGAACTATTCAATGAGGTCCTAAAAAATGCGAAAATACCGACTTCATGGGAAGAAGCAATTCTCACACTGATTCCCAAGGAAAACTCAGATTCGGCGTTTATTAAAAATTATAGGCCTATCTCATTATTAAATTCAGATTATAAAATTTTTATGGCCATAATGGCTAAAAGACTTGAAAGATTCTTAGTAGAATTTATACATACAGATCAAAATGGCTTTTTACCCAAAAGATATATAAGAAATAATGTTAGGATTGTATTGGATGTATTGGAATACTATGAGGTTCACAATGAAAAACAATGGGATTAATTTTTCTTGATGCACAAAAAGCATTTGATAATTTGAAATGGGACTTTATGCTCAATCAACTGGTGTATATGGATTTTGGGGAGAATTTTATAAATATGTTTAAATCAATCTATTCCAAACAGGCGGCTAAAGTAATAATTAATGGAGAAACAACTGGAAGTTTCCAAATTCAAAAAGGCACAAGGCAAGGTTGTCCATTACCTCCATTACTGTTTGTATGGTCCCTGGAGGTATTAACTAGAGTGATTCAAAAAGATGAGCAGATCAAAGGATTAGAGATCAAGAGAGAAATATTTAAAATGCAAGCCTTTGCAGATGATCTTGTTTTTATAATTGAAGAGCCACTACAATCAGGGACAAGGCTAATGGAAGTACTGGGTGAATATGGTGAAATAGCAAGCCTAAAGATAAATAAAGAAAAAACCAAAATGCTTGTTAAGAATATGACTGGAGCACAGAAAAATGAATTAGTTGATAGATTAGGTATCCAGACTACAAAGAAAATAAGATACTTAGGGATACAACTAACAGCTAGATGTGCCACACTTAAAAGAGATAATTACGATAAATTAATGGAACAGATTAAAATTGATTTGGATACCTGGACTAACCTACAGCTCTCTTTTATGGGTAGAATTGTCGTAGTTAAAATGAATGTGCTACCCAAAATATTATTTTTGTTTCAATGTATACCAATCAAATTAGATAAGGAATCTTTTCGAAATTTTAATCAAATCATACTTAAATTTATTTGGCAAGGGAAAAAAGCAAGGATTAAATTAAAATTACTGCAAGATTCTAAGGAAAGGGGTGGTGTCGGCCTCCCAGATTTGGAAAAATATTATCAAGCTACAGTATTAATATGGATGAGGGACTGGATACAATTGAAAAATAGGAGATTATTAAGATTGGAAGGTCATGATATGCAGATTGGATGGCATGCTATGTTATGGGATGAGAAATACAAGATCCACCAGTACTTTCGGAGGCATTATATCAGACGAGTGTTAATAGATGTATGGGTTAAAATTAGGCAACAAAATTATATGCAAGTTCCCAATTGGATTTCAACATTGGAAATGCACATACACCCAATGTTTATACAATTAGGGAAAGTAATAACGTATAAAAATATATTAGATGACAGAGGAAAATTGAAATCAAGGAAAAATCTTCAAGATGAAGGGATAGAATTGGAATGGTGGGCATATCTCTAACTGCAATCAAGATATAGGAAAGATAAAAAAGAGTGGGGTATAAAAACAGAGCCGATAGAGCTAGATAAAATAGTTAGGAACTGAGGACAAAATGATTAAAAGAATATACCACTACCTTCTAGATCAGGCAATGTATGAAGAGCAGGTCAAGGAAACTATGCTAACGTGGAGTAGGGATTTTGGCTTTAATATTGATCTGCATATCTGGCAAGAATTGTGGGAAAGAAACAGGAAACTCACCTTAGCTACTTCTTATAAGGAAAATCTCTACAAGATGTTTTACAGATGGCATTTCCCACCCATAAGGTTAGCCAAAATGGGCCCAAATCTCTCACCCATATGTTGGAAATGCAAATTAGCAATAGGGACCTATTACCATATGTGGTGGGAATGTCCTAAAGCCTGTAATTATTGGAATAGGATAAGAAAATGGTTGGAAGAAATATTAATGTTGGAGATAGAGCTAAAACGTGAACTTTTCTTATTGGGCATAACCATAGAGAAATATGACAAGGGGATAATCTATTTGATGTTGCACATCTTGACTGCTGCTAGACTGGTGTTTGCACAAAAATGGAAGAACAAAGAAACTCCCACAGAGGAAGAGTTACTATATAAAATACTATCTTGCGCTGAAATGGTCAGGCTTACGATGGAACTGAAGGATAAGAGTGGATCAGAATACTTTGAAATCTGGGACAAATTTTACTATTGGTGGGAATCGAGGAGGACTGTTGGGGTTACAGATTAGTGTTAAGATAGAAATGTATATAATCTTAGGCTAGCAAATAGAGAAATGAATTAAGTATTGTATAAATAACACATATTTATTTATAGAGATAAAGAACTAAATGTAAGAAGAGAAATAATTTGATAGAAATGTTTATACTGGAATGTTACGTCATGTCCAATGTTTTCTTTTTTTAACTGTATTATAAATAAAAAACTTTAAAAAAAAAGATTCCTCTTCCCAGGAGAGTTTACGGCCGTCCAAAAGCCATTTTGGGCCGTTTATAAATGCTCCCAATCAAATCCAGGGAGCAGCATTGCCAAAGAATCATCTTTGGCAGCAAAATCAGTATATCATCAGCAGGAAAAAGAAAAGTACTTACCATTCAGCAGCTATCTTGGAGAAGGATAATATGTATATATGGATTCTTGTATTTTTAATGCACTTTTTTTCAATGTCTTACTTGTTTTGTGTGTTATTTTTGTTTGTTTCTGTTCAAATTTTTTGAAGTTTTGAATTTTAACTTTTTTAATAAAATAAAAATAGATAAAACAGATATAGGATTGTTTCTCTGCCTTTTGGTTGGATAATGCTGAAGGACGCTGGTACAACAGCAGTCCCCAGTCTAGCACCACCAAATCTGCCAGGATTACAATTTCCATGGAAATGTGTTGGATGATAATGGCTTGGAATCCAGAAGTTGTAATTCATTTGGGAAACTCCAGGTTAAAAAAGAGAAATTGGTTTCAGAGATTAAGCCAGTGAGGCCTGGTTGAGTGTTACCTCTTGAGTTGCAGCACAAAGACAATGCTGTTATTGGCATCTTCTAGCTGGCTAATACTTAGTTCCAAATCCAATTTGATCTGCAAATAATAAGGGGCAAGAAAAAAAGTGAGAATGACCATATTGAAATCAGGGAGTAGAGGAGAGCTTAAGACCAATAGGTTAAGAAAAAACTTTGTAACAACCTAGGATGCTGTTTGATGTCAATGGTTTACTTTCTGCTACAATTTCTCAATAACTTATCTATGTGCCTGTAGATGCTAGACTGTGGATTTGTGATATAATATTAATCAGATAAGTCATGTGACAATAATCCTGCTTACTAGGATTTTAGAATTTAGAATAGAATTTAGTAACTGCCTTTGTATGTATTAATCAAAAGATATTAGTAACAATTCTATTCTGTTTATATGCAAAAAATAAAAGTGTTATGCATTGGTGGAAAAAGCATTAGTTTTGTTTAGATCCCATTCAGCTCTATTTACCAAGTTAAAGGAAATGTAGTATAATTTTGTCTATTACATGGAGAAAAACATTTTCCATTTTTGCTACTTTTTCAGACTTCAGAGCAAACTTGAAAACAAGTTCATTTTAGAAATGTATCCCCTACCTCTGTATGGGATTTCATTGGGTTGCCCACTTCACAAGCCACCAATCGTGTTTCATTCTCCTTGCGGAAATTACAGATCAGTTTCTGCAGGCAAAAGGGATGGAGTGTGTTTAAGTATACTTAACCTTGGAAGACTGAATGAACAGTATGACAAAATGAATGAAAGGATTTTCATACTATTGCTATTCAACTGGAAAGATTGTTTCTAGGTCATCAAAGCCCCTTTTGAAGCAAAACTAAATTTGTTATATATGGCAGCAGATTTTCTCATGCTTTTAGCACAAAACAAATCAAATTCAAAGAAAGTTAAATCTCAGAAAAACTTATAATACACAACAACAACAACAACAACAACAATAATAATAAAGTTGGAAGGGATCTTGGAGGTCATCTAGTCCAACCCCCATGTGTGGTATCCAGGTGCAAAAAAAATCCTAGATGGTTTTGAATTAAGATACTTGCAAATATAGCAGTATAACCGAAAGAGACTTGCAGTGTGGTTATACTCACAATCTAGAGCACGGGTGTCAAACTCGCCACGTCACGTGATGTATCGCGACATATCGTGACTTTTTTTGCATTGCCGGAGCTGGGGTGGGCATGGCCTCTGTATGATGCAGCCGGCCTACAGGCCAGCAGTTTGACAACCCTAGAGCCTGAACACTGTTATATAACACAGTTCTTTAATATGCAGCAATTGATTTCAACCAAATGTATTGCAGATAATTTAATATATCCAAATTTATTTATTTTTATTTATTTATATTTCCTATTTCTTAACCATCCACTTCCCTCAGAGGGGGAGGATGATCAACATGATGATCAAGTTTGGTAAATCTGAGCTTCCAGTCAACTCAGGGTTGACCTGTGATCACAAGAAGCAAAAAAATGTAAATATTTTTTGGAAATAATGTTTAAAACACACTTTTAAGAATGGAATAAAAAGGAGGTGAAAACATTTGTGGTTTTTTTGGCTCTGTTCCATAAGAGGCATAACAGACTACAAGACTGCATTTTCTGTCAGTGTATAGCCACAATGACAAAACCGCTTTTCCGTACGGGGTAAATTGGCCTTCAGATATTCCTGAACTACAATACATAGCAACTTTAGCCAAAATACTCAGTAGTGACTGATGCTGGAATCTAAAATTCAACAACTGTATCTCACCTCACCTGTGCACTGCTGTTAGCTCTTTGGAAGTAAGCCCCAAATGGCAGCTCCACCACTAACTCAGTTTCATAGGCTCCTTCTCCAGCATTTGTTGCTGTAATTTGGATGAGAACCACATTCTCGGCCCCAACAAGCAGGAAAGCTTCATTCCTGAGACATAAAAACATAGAAAGGAAAGATTACTAAATAATGGCTGCATTATTCTTCTGCATCAGTAATTAGAATATTGCAATTGGCAAGGCAAAATTGTTGGTTGAGGTTTGAGTATGCACCAAGGCAGTGGTGGGATTCAAATATGTGAAAAACTGGTTCTCTGTGTGGATGCTGCTTCCGGAAGTCCATTCTGGGCCTGGGCAACAAAAAATTAGCTACCGGTTCTGCTGAAGTGGTGCAAACTGGCTGAATCCCACCACTGCACCAAGGTCAACTGGAAGACCGGTGGAAGTTGAAACATTTTGCTGGATTAGAAAGGACATATTTTGCCTTCCCACTCATTGACATCTGACTGCCTTTCTTTATTCATTTAAAAAAATGAATGGCATATGATTTTTGAACTGTCTGAAAGAAAAGGAAGATGCAAAATCCAGCAACATTTTTTGCATAAGTCTACTTTGTATTAAAGATCTGTCTCAACCAGATTGTGAAGAGTTGTATGGATACTGATGAACATATATAGATTTCTGCAGAAATATTTGGTAAATCTGAGCTTCCAGACAACTTAATCAGAACATATTTTTCTTGCAATGTCTTAACATTTACTTAATGTTAATTGAAACTATAAGTATCATATTCACTGACAAATTTCTGACACTTTAATGTTATGGTCCTGTTCTTCATTATACTCCTTTTGGAATAATATTGTACAATATGATTATAAATTGGGAAAGCATTGGTTTTTAAAGACACTCATATTGTACTTGGAATTTAGTATGTTCTGAACAAAGATGACTTTTTGTGCACCAGGAATAGCAAAAAGGAATTAGCAGAAGGAAAAATACTATATTTATGGTATCATAATACTTATGATATGGAAATAATGCTATACATGGATTCCAGAGATGTATGATTTAGCAATTCTTGAAAAAATTATATATTCTGTCAATTAAAAAATGTCACATTATTTCTTCCTTTGAAAAAAAATATTGGATGGGCTTGATGAACATGAAAGCTTAGTGTCTCCTTTTAAAGACCTCAGATGAACTTGGAATATGTTTGTAATTTCTTGTTTCTATTATTTTCTTTTGTTGTGTTTTCATTTTCTTTGCTTGGGGTGAATTGTTCATTTTGTATTACATATGCTTATTTAAAAATGGACTAATAAAACTATTTTTAAGAATAATAATAAAAATTTAGTGATGGTGACCTTTGTCCTTCTTATAAACTATAGATCATCTCTGCAATTTAATTATATGTTTTACTATTGGAGATTTATGGAAGTCCCACAAAAGATGGTTGCCCAGAATTGCTTTCTGTAAAATGGGCAGCCACGTAAATTTGATTAATAAAATAAATAATAAAAGACCCAGAAAAATTACAAACATTATCAGCATATTACTATGCTTTTTTCTCACCCCTCAGCAATTGTGGCCAACCCAGTCTAAGCTATTGGTGCTTACGTGTGAGCAGAGAGTTTGAGATCTGGAATGCAGATGTTGTCTTCTCCACAGTCTAGAATGATGCGGGTCTGTGGATAAGAGGAAACCTAAACAGTTATCATTGAATGAATAGCAAATATAATTTGGAGGCGAGTATGGACTGCTACATACACAGTCCATGCTATTCCATGTTATCCCTAATTAAGGAATACATAAGAAAAATCCCTTCAATCTACAGATACGAAGATACCAGATATGAAGTAGCATGCAGAGCATGCAGAACCTCTCACCAAGTCCAGTTAACTACATACCTTTGCAATTGCCCATCTCTTAAATAAGATAATTTCATAATAAATAAGTGAATGAAGCCAGACAAAAACTACATCTAATTTAGATTAATCTCCTTTTGAACTGAATTAACATTATATTTATGTTTACAATTAATATGACTGGATCCCTTCTGTTCAATAATTTTTCCCATTCTTTCACATAAAAAATATCATTTGGTAGCAACTTTGGTGGCTCCGAAGTTGCATTTAAATCCATTAGGGCCCTCAGTCTGCAAACCTTTTATGTACAAAACCCATTTCTTTTCCACGAGACATACATAACCTCTAATCAAATAGCCTGCATCCAAGTCCAGAAGGGACTGCTCCAGTCTTTCTATAAACAGTAGCTAGCTAAATAATTCAAAATTATTTACTTTAGTAATAGCAGTAACAAAAGTCTCATGGCACCTTAAGACTAAACAGTTTATTATTGTCTGTGATCTACAATTTGCACGCAGTTCTGGAAGAGGAATATTCCATCTACTCAGACTTGTTCTTGGGCATGCATAGGCTATGTTTACCAAAACCACCTCTTTGGAAACACTTATTTTAGAGATAAACCCTATGTTCAACAAGCATTCAGACAAGCAAACAAGCAAGCAAACCACATATCAAAATAATAACCACAATATAAAATTAAAAACCAAACTTATAAGCAGAATGTGGTAGTTCCCAGTGCACTTGCTTTCATCTGAAGAAGAAAGAAGTCTTACCTGTTCCTGGACAATCAATTGGCCAGACAGAATAGGTTGCAGAATTCCAGCTCTGGAGAAGGATGCCAAACTGAAGTTGAGGCTCACAACAATGGCACTCAGTTTGTCTTTGAAATCAGCTTGATCCTGGGAAGGAGTGTATGTAAAAAGCAGTTTACAGATCCCATGGGGTAAGTTTTTCCCAGCTGGGCACCTTCCACATATATGGGACTACAACTCCATCATCTCCATCTAGCAAGCTTGGAGCTGTAATCTGACAAATCTGGAGGACATCCAATTGGAAAATATGTGCTCAAATTACATCTTTTTGGAAGGTTTGTAACTCTAACACAGAGGTGGGGAACTTTTGATTTTCTAGAAGTCGCAAATTCTCATCTCAGCAAAGAGAAATTTCTAGAGGCACAAAAGAATTAAGTAGTACTTGTCAAACTGAAAGACACAAAAGCCCTGCCAAAACAACAAGGCAGTAACTCTAATATTTATAACACTGTTTCTCATTTCTATAATTCTAAGAGCAGGAAACTCTCTCCCAATTTCAAATTTCCTCACATGCTCAACATCACCATGGAATGGTTAATCTCCGCATTATTTAGGCTAACATAATAGCCATAATTAAATTGTTTTTGATTTATGCAGTGAAAAATATGCAGGAGCTTTGTCAAAAGCTAAGATACCAACCAAATTTCCTAGAAAAAAAAGAATAGAAACTGTCTAGTTTTTATTGAACTATGACTCTTAATATCCCCTGCCATTAGTCATGTTTCCTGACTGTGGCTGCTGAGATTTGTAGAACATTCACATCTGGAAATTATTCTCCTCTTCTGAAGGTGTTGGGATATTGATATTGATACAGTAGCATAAAGAATTTTATTCCAAGACAGGAAAGTACCACAAATGGGCCAAAACTTCCAAGACCAGATTTGTAAAATGACAGATTAAAAGTTCAAACATAAGAAGGTAGCCTTGGTAGCTCCCAAAGTAGAGAAGGGAAAACGCACTCAGCATTCTTCTTTGTTTCCCTGCAAATCTTGGGCTGCAACTTTCAAAGCTGAACATAATTTCCGAAGTAAAGCAGAACCTATTGCTCAACCATTCCTTACTATTCCAAACACATGCACACAGAAACAAAGACACACTTTTGATGCCTGAGATACCTACCCGTAAGTAAACCGTGACATTCTTACAGGTCAGGGGAATTTTTCTGGACAGTTTCAGTTGGAATATCTGGCTTGGTTGGTTGGTTTGCTGCAAGAAAAGCCGCCTCCCAAATTTCTGCTTCATATGGTCCAGCTGTAACTCTGTATTTAATTCTAGCAGACACAAGGAAACAGGCAAAAAACAATATGATGGTGATGAAGATTAATAGACAAATCACAATCTACAATATACATATTGATAACTAGAATACCAAATTCTTGTCTTCTATTGTACAAGAAAAGACTTTTGATTCAAACATCTGCAGTGTTTTTATAGTCCAGACTTATGTTCTTTATTAATACTATGTGAGAATTCGGAAAATTTAGGAATGTGTAACGGAAAAACTGTACACTCGTATAGTGATGAGGACCACTATTCTCTAACTTGACAGCAATATTGTGCTATTTAGGATTAATGGGAGTTGATCCAGCATTCTATGGGGCATTAGATTAAGATCCTTCCCCCATTTACTATAACCACTAATGCCAAAATAGAATCAGTAGTTTTCATATCTAAATAAACAAATGTGGAAAGTACCTCTTGGTGGATGGGTGGGAAACATGAGTTAATACCTCATTTCTTACTTTCAGCTACTTTCTCAAAGAAATCAGCAAAATACTTTTTTTGGACTAGTTAATTTCATTTCTGGCACAGCTGAGTTAAGAAACAGAGATTCATCCTGGTTTTTTTCTTTCTGAAATGTTAGGCATCTGATATGTTAATAAATAACCATGTTTTCATGTACCTATTAAAAATTAAATTCCAAAATTTTCTCATCATAGAAACAAAAACTGTGGCAATCAGGTAAAGCTGCACACATTTGTTAACTGTCTCAGGAGAACTAGTTCTTAACTTTCTACAAATATTGCTTAAGAAACTAATGAATCTTACTAATCCTGCCTCATCAGAGACTTTGCATAATAAAAAAAATGTGTTGTGTGCAATACTATCTCTACAGCAGTGTTTCTCAACCTTGGCAACTTTAAGATGTGTGGGTTTCAATTGCCGGGAAATCCCCAATCAACCTGGGTGGCTAGGGAATTCTGGGATTTGACATCTACCTACTTTAAAGTTGCTAAGCTAGAGAAACACTGTTGTAGTGTATTACTTCCAAGTTTCTGAAAAATCTTTCACCTGGGAGAACCCTGAAACCTCAGAATTCACACTGTCTCGATTTTTATCTCATCCCTCTTGATATCTATGTAAATGATCATAACTACAATGGCCTCTGTTCCTCCAAATTACTGATTCAACACTCACCAATTTCTGATGGAATGTTCTTTCCCGACATTCCTACACACATCTGAATGTTGAAGCTACATTGATAAGGAAAAAGAAAATGAGGCTCATTTCATAGATCAAACAGCATATACCCAACTGGCAAATAACTAACCATAGAACCTACCTTTCTGAATCCCACCTGTACAGTTGCAAATCTTATTATACATTTAAGTTCATGAATTTAAAGATATTGGAGACTGAAGTGTTTTGTGCTTGTAGAAAGTGGGAATTTGACCTGAACAATAATTAGCGAAACAAATTTTATAACTACAATATACCAGAAAGGTTATTTGATTACAAGAAATATATTATAGATACAAGTAAAGCTAGAGCATGTGCTTTGTGCTTGGGAAGAAAGGCAGAAAGAAGTGATCTCAGATTAGCATCTTAGACACAGACCAGGCAAACTAATAAACAAAGAAGGAACACATAGTAAATCCTTTTTATCTGCCCCCCACGTATTCACATCTTTAATAGAAAGAAGGTAACTATAATCAAACAGTGGGACAGTGCCAAATGGCAAAGATTTCTGAAAACTCCAACTAGTTTTGTGTTTTTGATTATTCTGACTTATTGGTTAGACTTCATATCCTATGTTATTGTTGAAAGAAAAATCTTCATCAGAGTCCAGTCCAAACTGGGAATAAACAAAATGGAGACTGCTTTAGAATGATGGCTGTAGTTTATTGAAGAACAGAGCCAGACAGAAACGTGGCTCTGGGAAAGCTGACCACATGGAGCAGGGAGTGGTGAGTTTTATACCTTCTTGGACTTTTGTGTTTGGAGTTGTTCCTTGGCATGAACTTTGACCTGAGGTTCAGTATGCCTTTCTGGTATTTTGATGGTGGTGGGCTAATCCTATTATGTCCCAAAGGTCATATCCTGCTTCTCTGGGGCAGTGACTGATGGCTTACTTCCTGTGTTGGATTTCTTGGGTGCAGGGTTTTTGATTCTAGGGATCTTTGTCTTTCTAATTCCATCAGTTTCCTGGCTCCAATCTTTCTGAAAGGATTATGATATCTGCATTTCTACAGAGCTGGTTTCTGCTTCGGGGAGGGAGACTTGGGGCTATTAAGAAAAACTGGGCATGCTTTTCTGCCTTTTAAAGATCCTTTGAGGAAATATAATATTCTGCCTTTTTAATATTTCCATCTCTGGGGGGGGGCTGACTTCCTACATTAGCATTCTCCATTTCCCAGCATGTTGGAGAATATCTTTTTTTAATTAATACATCTAACTAGCCTTCTCACAGTTGGTGCCAGCTAGACATGCTGAAATATAATGGCTATTTTTCTTAGTCATTTTCTTGCAGCTAGCTGGGAATTCTGGGAGTTGAGGTCCCAATATATCTGGAGAATACCAGTTAGGGAAAAGATACCTCCAAAGAAATTAACCCTGCCACTCTTGATTTTCTACTAGGAAAGAAAATTCAGTAGGTAGGCTCAGGTGTTGAGCAAAGCACATAATCCATGGGACCATGGTTAATTATTTATAATAACATGGATGCGTTTCCCACTATGCTTACCAGCTAGCCTGTTCTCCTGGACATGTTTTCATCTCTGAATCAAGCACATCAGGTATGGAAAGGTGGGCTTTGAGTATAATCATCGGCTGAGCTCTAAGGAAGACAAACATTACGGATGTGCATATGCAGCTGAGATAAATGCTGACTAAATGATCCCGTTATTCATCCTTGGTGGATGAGACAAAGGATTTTTCCAAAATTTCTAGTCATGGCCATATGCTGATGGATGGGTAAAATTTATCTACAATAAAATGTTCTGCCTTTAACTAGTTAATTCGACAGCATCCATGCCCTGGGCCAGCTTTCTCCAATTTCATGATCTTCTGTAGTGTAGAAGATACTGCATTAAAGAAAGAAGTTCTAGAGCCAAGAGCTGCATCACATCACAGACCTTCCTCTGAGTGGAGCTACTTTGACTTGGGTATATATTAACTTTTCTCAGCCAAAGGGCTTCTGTGTAAGTGGAGACAATAATTGTAGAATTCCTATCATATATGAAAGCCTTCAGGTTGGGGAATGCCAGTATATAATTTTGTGAAGTTTGTTACTAAGTTTTATGCAAAAATATAATGCAATATAAAAGATTTGGGTGGCCTCTAACTAGTTATAATCCTTAATCATAAGATTAACTTTTCACTTACCCAAGTATAGAGAATAGCTTTTATAGACTTGGTTTTAGTCAAAAGAAGAAATTATTCAGTTCTGGGCACAAGATGGGAAAAAACATGCTAAGAGATTTTCCAAGACATTCAGGTAATAGATCACTACTGCTTACAACTATTTGTTTGCTCAATGAGCTGTCTTTCCACGATCACCAAACTTGTCAAAGTGCAAACCCAACAATTCTATTTGCAAAGTAAGAACAACAATCACCATAACTCTATAAGTTTTGCCTAGGAAACTGACCTATTTATAATTTAATTTAGAGTTTCATATGGCAAAATTGTAGATTATTCATACATTCAACAAGTTCCCAAAATCAATGGGATATAACAGAACCCTATATTGTAAACAATTCTATATTTCTAAATTTGGCTAAGCAAAAAAAATCAACATTAAATAAGACATTTTAGGTACCTATTTGCCTTTTCAATAGTTCCTTGATTTCTTTTTCTTCCTATACAATTTCATCCTCGTGTATAAATTCATGGCATTGGTTAAATAAAAATAAAACATGTCAAAATGAAGAGATTTTGCCATTTTCCAGACATTTTCTAGTCCCACCACTAAACCAATTGGTACAAATTCCTTGCAACCCTTTCAGCACTAGTTTTCACAAGTATCCAGTGTGTTTCACTAAAGAGTGGAGGCTCTTGAGAGAACATGTGATGGTTCTTGGAACAGAAAGATGATGTCACAAATTTCAGAAAAAAAGCACTGACAGGTAACTGCACTTCAGATTATGAGACCCAAAGGTCTTGGCCACATTCACTCACCTGTAGACAACCACCTTGTTGATCCTGAAAGCACCAACTAGCACATCTGGGTGTGAAGAACAAGATAAAAAACAGGGCATTAAGGATGCAGCATTCCATCAGCCATCGTTCTGAGGCCCAGTGCTACCCATTCCACTGAAAAGAATAGTAGTCAGTCTAAGCTTTCCTAGTAAAAAGCACAGGATTTTGCATATATTCATATCTTTGACTAATTAAAACATTTTTTTCAATCTACCTATGGCCTAAATTAGTTTTTCCCTAACAAAGTTCTCCTACATTGGTCTGTTTTATGGTTTCTAGTCTACAAGATCAAAAGTCATGCTAGTTTGGAATTACGGAATTATGTGACTGTGGTGCTGATATACAAACTATTAAACATATTCTGCAAGATTGCCCATGACATGCATTCTCTGGTTCTTTAGAAGATCTATGTTAAATTCTTTGTTCGCGTGCAAATGATGAAGACACATGGTGACCATAACAACTCTTTATTCTCCTTCTCCAACTCCAAGCAAAGAAGCAAAAGGCACGCAGGCCTTTTATAGGGCTTGAAACCCGGACAGAGTGAACCAATAGGAACTCCTCTTCTTTGCGCCTTGTGCATGCGCACAAGTCTGGCGCCGCTCTGTCTGGTCTCGGGCAGCTTTTAGAATGTCCAGGACCATTTGCAACATTTCTGGGCCTGCTGAGTTTCCTCATCAGGCCAGGACACAACAATCTACATGAAGCAAAACCAGAGAGGATCTCTGGGTAACTGAACTGGACATCCAGTTATGAGGCCATTGCCATACCCCCTGTAGCTTTGAATATAATTATGTGGATTGTGTATATATGTTTACTTTTTTGTCATGTTTTCATCATATGTTAAATGATGATGATGACGATGACAATGATGATGATGCTGGAAGTCATCATGATATGCATTTAAAAGGGCCATGCTAGAGGAAATCTGGTTTAGATCAAAACAAATCTCTTGGGAAACTTCAACATTGTTCTGCTTTGGTTCAAATAGACTGGGCGAAGCATATGACATAACAAAATATTGTATTACCAGGATAACCATTAACATCTATGTCAGAGGCTCCACGGATGGCAAAGCCAAAACCAGCAGACTCAGAAAAGGGACTCTTGAGGATCTGGCTTGGAGATGCACTCAATCCTTCACTGTGCCCAAGGTAGATGTAAACCTGGCCACCTCCATCTTGGCCTGCAAAGGGTGCTCCTATAGCTATGTCTGTGGAAACAGAATATAATGGCAAATATAATGGGGAAACAAGGTGAAAAATTCAAAAGAAAAGCAATACAAAGGGTATTTTCCAATGCTGAATTAAACTGATGTCCTTCAATCTTTAGGCAGAAAACTTGGTACCCCCATTGCCAATCCCTATCCTGCCCCTATTACCTCTGCTCTGACTCATTGCCAAATGGTGCTGTTTTGATTATGAATATCCAGAACTTTTGGCGCCCCTTTTCATACACTCATTTTGCTCATAACCCAAGTTAAATAAAGTGAAACTAATAACAGATTGGTGTCAAAAAGGTAGCCTAATCTTATTTTTACTCAGGATTTCCCTTTTTTTCTTTTCTTTTCTTTTCTTTTTTTTTCTTTCCTTTCCTTTCCAATGCAGGCAATTAATACTGACTTTCAGATTCCTCGCTGTTCTCAAGAAGCAAAGAGGGACAAAGGGTTGGTCCATCAACCTTCCACTAAGCCAGCGAAGACTATCAAGTTAAAGCATGTACAGAACAGCCAGCTGAGCAGCTGATGGCATTGCACAATTCTGATATTTGGCATTGCACAATTCTGATATTTCACTAGTGCATCCAGTGTGTCTAACTCTTGAGACACAGCAGAACAGCAGCAGATGGACTGGCCAGAGATCAAAAACCTTTCTGATCTCACTCACCAACTAAGTGGCAAAGCCTAGCAGGTTTTACACACTTGTAGCTGTCATTGGACACTCTAGTTTAAGTTTCTTTTAACCCCAGCACAATGAATAGTGCCTTAAGTCTGCCTCACCTAAGGGCTAGAGAATAGATGAAGACAAAATCATAAAGACATGACAAAACAACAACCACATTGCCAGGATAGGTTTTTGTATTTTGTTTTTGTATTATTTGTAACAATAAACGAGTGTTTGTGCCATGGACAGGTGCAGATGGATGATGACAAGACCAACTTCAAGCATTAGGAAGACAGAAGATTAAACTGAGTATCCTCCAAATTTAGGTTGTAAGAGACCAATAGATATGGATACTAATAGGGTGGTGAAAAGAAACTGCAGATGACTAAGGTTACTTTCAGGTGGATCTTTGAAAAGGTACACTGTAACGAAGAATGGAGCCTCTTTACAACCTCAAATGCATACTTATTACCATCTAAACTATTCTAAGACAGGGGCCAATGTTTGTTTGTTCATGTGTAAAATTTATAGGCTGCCCATCTTACCTCAAGGCAACTTTGGGCAATGTTTAAATATTTAAAACATCTATAAGTCATCCATGGGCATCTAGACTCAGCCACAATGAATCCTGGTTCGTGTGATGATACAGTGGTCTCTCTTTCAACAGTGGGAGGTAGCTGAACAGAGATACAACACTGGGATTTTCCAGATTGCTTTCTTCCCTATTTCTCATCCACTTCTTCTTACCAATGTAGCCATCCTGATCTATATCACCCAAAGGAGCAATAGCCATGCCAAAACGGCCATAGGTATCTGTGCCAGTCAACTTCTGCCAAGGAGTTCTGTAAGGGCGTGGGCTCTTCCGCTGTAGGTATAAATAAACTCTTCCTACTTCATAGAGTTTCCCATCTGAGCGGCGCTCCATGAAAAGGGGGGCACCCACTAAAATGTCATCTTTCCTGGGACACAGAAAAACAATTTGTAAGAGCTTATTCAGGATATAGTCTCCAGCTCAGCCAGAGCAAATACAGTATAACAACGGTAAGAGCAACCTGCCTAACACTGAGAACTTACATTACAGTGGATTTGCAGAAGTCTAACTATGGGCATTTCAAGAAGCATCTGGCTAGCCATAATAGATTCAGGCAGGCCTTATAGTTGCTCCAGTAGAGCTCTCCTACATACTGTACTCTAGCAGGTTACATCGGTTCTTTCCATCACCATCACTGAGAGATTTCAATTTCTTCCAAAAAAGAAATAAACAACGCGCAGAAACATTTTTATGTGTCAGATTCACAGGTCCCACATACCAATGAAACTTAGCTAAGAACTGTAGTACTTACTACTGGAAGCTGCATCTATGTAAAGGAGACCAGAAGAACAGAACTAAGAATAAACATGTGCTTTGGAGTTGTAAGGGAAGCTGCAAAAGGACTGTTATTTCTCCAGTAACACCTGTTCTGCTGCTTCTTTTTTAGACCTTTCACCAAGTATGACATCATTCTCTTATGTGGGTAGTTCTGAGAATCCAGGCAATGTTTCTTCTCTAGTGTCACTGCCTGGATTCTCAAGAGAACCGACATATCTTCCCCTTCCTCTTCTCTGAAAAGGCTAATAACATGCTTTTAGATCAGGGAAGATGATCTTGCTTTGAAGGAGATTATGGCAATAATCAATACCTGTAAGAACTGGCACGATAATGTTGTTTTGTAGTCAGTAAATAGCAAACAGGAGGATCAATAGCCTTTAAGGCAGTGGTTCTCAACCTGTGGGTCGGGACCCCATTTGGGGTCGATTGACCATTTCATGGGGGTCGCCAAGCAAGGCTGTCCGCCATTTTTTTTGTCCACCATTTTTCCCCCTTTTCCGGCAGGTGCCTTACCTCCCTTCGGCTGGGCCAGCTGGTGGTCGGCCTGCTCCGTCTCTGCCGCTTGCCAGCTACGCCTCGGCCGGCGCAGGGGGCGGAACCACGCATGCGCGGTGCTCCCGGGCAGGGAAAGTCCTCGACTTACGACCGGTTGGGTAGTCCTCGACTTACGACCGGTTTAGTCCTCGACTTACGACCGGTTTAGTCCTCGACTTACGACCGGTTGGGGTCACGGCATTAAAAAGGTTGAGAACCACTGCTTTAAGGTGTGTTCTTACAGACTCTTCTGCCTCTCATGAGCTATCTGCTTCACCTCAACATTATCATCCTCAAATTAGGCCTCTTCTATTTTCATTTTAAATTAAATTAATACTTTCAATACAAAATGATAAAGAAGCACTTTTCTTCTGTGCTTAGAAATAGTGTTTCTGTGTATGCCTGTGTACTTCAGAGCTACTCTTGACTGCTGAGAATTAGACAAGCCTTGCCACTTTATTAGCAACATTTTCAGGAAGGGTTTCCCATTGTCTTCTTCCTAGGACTCAGAGAGAATGGCTGGCCCAAGGCTACCTACCTGCCTTTGTGCCTAAGTCACTGCTAGAATTCATACTCCCCAATTTCTAACTTAGTGCTTTTAACCACTACAACAGACTGACTCTCTATGAATATATTTAAGGCAACACAAATCAATGGGATATCCCTGTATGTGTTGTACTATAAATTGTATTATTACTCGGAGTAGAGGATGATAAGAGATATAAGATATTGCAGTGATGGGAGTTAGAAAATGATTCACAATTTTTACAGCTTTAATTGATCTTTAATTCCATAGCAACGAGGAAATATTTATTTTTTAAATTATTATTAATGTATGGTCAAAGAAAATTGTGTCCAAATGACAAATATTTTACAATATGAAAGATGAAAACTAAATGATTGTAACATTGTTGGATTCAGGCTTAATCATAAATGTAATTGATTTCAAAGAGCTTGGTTAAATCTTGATTCAGCCTAATGGAAACCATTATAGTAGCTTATGGACCAGCAAAGCTAGGCAAAATCCTATTACAATAATGTAAACTTATTAGATTGCAATTCTGCCACTCTTTTGCACTTGTGCTCTATTTCCTTGTTAATAGTTGCAGAATCACACTTGCGGCATATACATTTGAGTGAAAATATATAATAGGCACTATTACAATACACTTCTAATGTGCTAGATATGGTCATGAATGGAAAAAGTTGGTAACAGTATGAGGGTGTTAAAGTATTCGTTAGAGTATTCCATATATATATATATATATATATATATATATATATATATATATATATATATATATATATATATATATATATATATNTTTTTTTTTTTTTTTCGCTCCAAAAGAGGCACTAGGTCTGATTTTCAGGATATGTGTGTGTTTTTGCACTCACCTCGCGGCAGCAGCACTGACAGCCTCACCCAGCTGGCCCGCTTCTTCTGCAGCCGAAGGAGCAGCTTCAGTTCCGGCCTGCATTTCACAGTCAAAGGCCTTTCTGGAAGGCCTCTGCAGCTGAGAATCGAGCTATGGATTCAATCCGTAACTCAGTTCTCAGCTATACAGGCCTTACGGAAAGGCCTCTGGCTTGAAACGTAGGCCGGAGCTAAAGCTGCTCCTTTGGCTGCAGAAGAAGTGGGCCAGCGAGGCAAGTGTTGATCCATGGGAGGCCTGGCTGCAATGGTAAACTCCACCTCCACTGTAGCTTGATTTTTAGGCATGCGCCTCACCCCAACACTAGGGCTTATTTTGGGGGCAGGGCTTATATTAGGCCCACCTCCTCAAAATCATTATTTTGGGGGTAGGTCTTACTTTCGGGGAAACACGGTAGTAGGAATAGGATTCCTGTTCCCTTTGCCGAAAATTCAACAACAGATAACTGACAACAGAGGTCAGCAGATTCCCAAAATGGGCACATGAATCTCTTTGGATGCAAAAGGAAACCCTGAAAGAAAAATGGAGGAAGCAAGTTAATTGATAGGTAATTTCAGCATGTAACCTTTTTGGTTAATTTAGCATTTGTAGCTGCACTTTAGGGATAAATTACAAAGAGCTGCATTCAGTTCTCCTCCAAGGCCTCCAGTGCTCCACTCAGAGAGGTGCAGATGAAGGAGACAGTGACAAAGGGCTCACTGTCAACCCCTGGTTAGTATTAGCAGACCAGGACACAGAGAAAACAGGGACAGTTGACTAAGTTTATGGTGGTTGCTAAGAATTTGAGTATAGCTTTAGGGCCTGAGAAGTAAATTCTGTTTTTTCATGTAATCAAGAGAATTTTATGATTTAAATACTCTTCAAACCGAGGACTTCCGGTGGCAGGCGATTTCGCTGGTCGCAGCTGTTTGCTGCCTCCCGCCTGTTTTGCGTAAAAGCCGGTTTGACAGCTAGCATCTGCTGTCAAACGGCTTGATACCTTTCCCCTGGGCATAAGGGGATCGGTGAGCTGCCCGGGGTAGGAGTTGAGTTCCCGAGTCGTCCTATATGGACGATGTAGGTGAGA